GTTCCCACTCTCACGTTCAGCAAGCTCAGCACACAAGCAATAGCCTGCCCGGAGCAGGTAGCAGTGCCTCTGTCAGTGCATGTGTGGCTCGCAGGGGGCCCCAGAGGCGAGCAGTGGGGTGATGTGAGCCAACATAGTCCTCTTGTGAGCACCCGGCTCCTGCTGCCTTGGCACACAGTCTGGAAGTTGACAGAAGATGTCAGTAAAAGACAAGTCCTCTGAACGCCTCACAGGCTGATCAGACATTTCCCTCAATTGACACGTGAGGATTTATAGCTCATGCTAAATATTGTGCAGGCAGTGTGAGTGGTCGGGATGACCCTCAATGGTGGGTGACCCTAATTGGGTGACCCCCAGTGCAAACATTCAGCCCAGATAATTACAGACCCTTAAGTAGCAATATCTGTCTGGACCCCTGCTGTTAAACAGTGTTGGACTCCTGTGGTGTAGCGTGGAGAGGCCCCAGGGTGCAGCGTAAGGCCTAGACTTGTGTCCTGTCCCTGCTCACAGGGATTCACACCTGAAAGCAGGAGAACAGGGCTGGAAGCTTGGAGCTGGGGTGGAGCACCTGCCAGACCCACTAGCCCAAATCTATTTATCCAGGGCTGGGATAACAAAACTCAGAGCCACCGTGTGTCCAGCACAATAAACCCATCGACACTTCAGGATTCCTCCTTGCAGACCCCTCTCAGACTCCCACAAGAGATCAGCAGCCAAACTCCTGCATGGGATGCTTCCTGAACTGTATGAATTTATTAGAAAATTACTCAGCACAATAATAAATGCACCCAGAGCTGTTCTTCTTTTTTTTTTTTTTTTTTTTTTTTTTTCCACATCAGGTGGTAAAACAGTAGCTCTGAATAGATTGCCTGCACGAAGGCTTTCGCCTTTAGCACAGCAGCAGCAGATGGCCTAATAAATATGCAGTGCTCTAAGACTACACTTGTAATTTCTGTGACCTAAGCTTTTTTGGTCTCCCACACAGATAAAATGCACGATCATCCATAACAAACTTTATAATAGATAAAAACCTAAGCAGTGTAATCTAAGCGCTGTTAGAAGTCCACTGGCATTACCCATGCAGTAGCAATTGTACGAGGAGCCTGGCTGGTTTGATTTATGGGAACATACAACTGCGGCTGCCCCTGGTTGAAGCAGAAGCCCTGCTATCAGCACACCAGGATCTTTCCTCTGGCAGGAGAGGATGTCTGCGAGGAGTGGGACGAAGGCATTGACTGTCCCCAGGAGCACTTCAGCCACACTGCAGAAGTGAGGGCTTTCAGTTAACAGCTCAATAGGATTTTTCCTTTTTTTTTTTTTTTTTTTTTTTTTTTTTTTTTTTTTATCTACATGCCTTTCAAACCTGTATGCTCTTCAAAACTCCTGGAAAAGAGCATTATAACAAGGAGAAGAACATGATAACAAAGATAAGGAGCCTGAGATCTGCTGGAGAAGCCACAGCTGCAGTGATGGATCACCAGTTGCTCAGCCTTCAGCAAACTGGTCAGTGCCTCTGCAGCCACCGAGACTGCATGGGCAGAGGGACCTATCTGGGCCACATTTGAACAAAACTAGGAAAACAACCTTAACACAGATAATTTTTCCACTTGAAAGCTGTCAAGCTTGGAAACAGAACTACTTTTAGAGTGGTACGAGGAGAGCAAAATCCTGCACAGGCCTTCACATGGCAGGCTGCAGCCTGTGACCCCACGGCAGCTCAGGGCTGTTTCTGGGGTCTCACCCAGGGTGTTAGCATTTTCGCTGGTTATAATGCCTGCAGCAGGATCCGGGAACATCACAGCGAGACCTGCCTGTACAGCTGCTAACAAGCAAGTTAAACACCAAATAAGAACAAATGACAAGTATTGTTGTTACACTTACACACTCCCATGGGTATCATGAAGCCAAGCTTTCAGTGTATCAGGGAACTGAATTTAAATAGTTTTTTTTTTTTTTTCAAAGTGCCAAAAAAGGTGGCAGCTAAGGATGCCAAGTTACTATAGTAACCATGAGAAAAGTGGTGATTATCAGCAATACCACACAGAAAAGAGAGACTGGATTGTCTTTTCATTTTACCCATAGTCCATTGCTTAAAAATAAGCTCTTTTCTAATATAAAGAAATACCATGGAAAAAATTTGAATGTGAAATGTGAATATTATGCAAAATGATTTTCATGGAGTATTCAGCCTGTGCAATCTTGCCATTTGACCCAAAGTTTAGAGGATGCGCTCCTAAATGGGGTGTTTGATGGCTGAAGGATATGTGAATAATAAAGAATTACTTCTCATGTCTTCTTACCTAGTAACCACAGCAGCAGAGGGGAAAAAAACAAGGCTGGTGTCCTACTGCGAGCTCCTTAGGACAGAGTGTGTTCTCTGTTCAGCATAATGAGGCCAATGTGTACACTCAGCACCCAGGTTCAACAGGGGACAGTTCCGCAAGACTGGAGATTACAAGGTGCTAGCAGCTGCTCGGAGGAGAACGTGCCAGATCCCACAGGGCCCATGCTGTCTGTTCCCCATGCCTCATCGCCACTGTAGCCCACAGCGACCTAAGGGCTGAAACCAGGATATTTGGGCAGGCTTTGGAGAAATCCTTGAAAGCATAGATGGGCCTAAGGCAAAAAGAATGAGAGGAAAAGGGGCAATTGTTCAGAGGGACAGAACACACAGCTCTGGGCTGTGACTGGAAAGTGATTTAAAGGTTTCTTCGTTTTCCTGAACTGTCTGAAAGCTGGTTGACTGGAAGGAGGTTTGTTTGCAGCAGCTGGAAATGAGGCAGAGCTGTCTGCCTCACCTGCCACGAGTGGGGAACGAGGCCTGAGAGACGATTGCTTCGCCTGTGACCCTCTGGGTCCAGCAGGTTCAGCAAGCTATTTTCAATTCCTCTTTCAATGCTCATCTAGGAAACATTAATGAAGCCTTATTAAAATTTATTGCATTTCAAAATTTCTGCTCTCAACAATAATAACTGTGCTGGGTCTGTAGACACAAATGCCTGCAGTTTTTTTTTTTTAACCTGGAACTGTTCACCCAGACACATGTTTTTTTACCTGTTTGAAAGCACACCCTAGTGGGAACAATGTGGGTCTCTTGGACTAACACCACTACATACAACCGCTAGGAGCAAATATATGTGCTCTTTGTAACTTGCCATAAATGCTGGCCTTGAGAAATTGGCTGAAGAAAAGCATGTGTGTGTACCAGCAGCACTTTAGTTCTAGGTTCCCAGGATGATGATTACGAAAAACATCGGGAGCAAAACTTGCAGCCTTGTAGCTAAGCCTTCCATGCTGCTCTACTCACAGATGTTGCTCACAGCATCAGGGCAATCAGTCCCCATGGATGTTGAAGACATAAAGCTGCTACCTAGAATGCAAAGGGCAAGGATCCCAAACTGCTGATTTTGAAAAGCAGGACTTACCTGTAAAATGCTACCTTGCTAATGACAGAAAAACACAGTGTATTTGGACTTGCTGTGAATCTGGCTGGAAAAACAGGCTTGCCCCGAACTTAGTTTTGCTACCTGCCTGCCTCCTTATCCCACTAAAGGTAGGGGTGAGAGTGTGAAGTTGCCAAGGGCTCTCTTCTGTCCGAGCTCTGGATGTCTGTTTACGGACTGCTACATGTGACACATCAGTGACTGCCTGCTGTGAAGCCAGGACACGCATGCCTACCCCAAGTCACTGGCAGACCATCCATTGGCCCTTTGCAGACTTCTGACTCTTACATAGCACACACCAGCTTGCAGACACTCTGAAAGACTTATTTATTTGCAAAGTGAGCTGTTATCTCAGAAGCATCAGTGACCCAGTCTGGATTCACAGTGGTGCTGTAGCACATCCAATCATTCCTGCGAGACATGGGGCTGTGAAAGGAAAATTAACAATACATTTTAAATAGCCCTTGCCTCAAATACAGAGAACACGGTCCTGATCACTACATGATGGTAAACAGAAAGCAGCTAGATGTGTACAAGCATGCACAAGCTAGGATCTGATTTTTGAAGGGCAAAATTATGATTTCATTGAACTTTTAAACTGATTATGGCATTAGCAAGAACAGATACAAATCTTTCTGGGAGAAGCAGGCTAAGGCAGGGTAAGTAAATTATCTCCACACAGTATCTGTCTTCCTGTGGATTTCAGTGCTACTCGAATCAATTTGTGATGATATGTTTGTACCTGCCACGGAAGCCAAATACACAATCTGATCTTATGCCAAGCCACTATTAACAACTGCATTTCCAATTGATTCTAGGATATTCATTAACTGGCATCCATAATTACAAATAATTTACAGACATAACATTTTAAATCACTTGCCAGTGAGCTTACTAAGCTCACTTTATGACATTCGAATACATTATTCTTAAAAATTCACTGCGTAATCAACTTGCAAATGATTACTGTGGAACAGCACTGGATATAATCAAGTAGAAACTTCGAGCAATGTCTATAGATCATTTGGGCCATGTGATGTTGACATCCCCTTTAACTGTCTCTATGAAACTGTAATGTACTGAGTTGGTGGACTCCAAAGCTGCTCGACCAGCTCAACTCCATTACAGCTTTATTTAGATTTATTTACCCTTTGAGCAAGTGTCTTGTTGGTTGGGGGGTCACTGGTGGTGAGCCCCTTTGCTCAGCATTGCAGAATCTCCCCTGCTTTGGGGCTGGGCACTGCTTGGAGCCAAATAACAACCTGGCACTGCAGAAGCATCAGCATCAGGTTAACCGTTTTCTTGAGCAGACAAAGCTTGACACATCTGCATGCACAGTTTTTTATTCAGTTTCAGGTGATGATTTGACTTGGAATGGCTACGTATGGTCTGATTTATCTCTATAATCTTTCCTTATGCTCAACAGGAATATTATATGTACAACAGAAAACAATCACACCGTGATGGAGGCAATTTAAATCTCTATGTTGGAACTTTGGGCCTTGAAGTTTGGGGCCTTCACTGAAAACTGCACTGAAAGCCAATACAGACAAGATAAATAAATTATCTTCTTTTATTGCAAGATATAACAGAAAAAAACACACACCTGTACACTGAGCACAGCTTCACATATGAATCATAACACATCTTCTTACTTTACATGGAACAAGGCTCCAATTTGTGAGTGTTGAAACAATCACTCATTGCTCTTCTTCAGGGCTATGTTAAATTACAGCAGTAAAGTAGACAGTAGCTGGTAATCTCAGGGCCTGCTGTATTTACCCTGTTGTGGTCTAGATTTACAAACTGCCTGTGTACACACCTTACAGTGCACTGTACTGTACACATTGTAACACCCTACAGCTTTGACATCATCTCGTTACTGTAATACACAATAGTAGGGAATTTCTCGAAGATGAGGGAATACTGCTTTTCTTTCCAGTGACTAAAGGGAGGGAGGGAACTTATGAAATAGATGCCTTTCAACAATGCATTGTGTATTTTAACAGTACAAAGGGTAAGATAGCTTGGAATCAATTAAAATTTTCCAGTAAGCAAGTAATGAAAAAAAAATATTTTTGAGTAAAACCATAATTTACAGATGAACATCACAAAAGCTCTTGATTCAATTTCATTTGTTCCCATGTAGAACCTTTGAGTATTGGAAATAAATCAGACTAACAAATAAATGTCTTAGCCACAAGGAACTTTTATGTAATGTGATTTTCCACTGCATTACAACTTAATGTGAAACTATAAAAATAAGACACTATTTACATAATATATTCATTTGTTTGCAAAACTATTGGTTAATTCATGTTTTAAGTTACATGATAAATTATACAGCTCAGTCACACTTTACAAACAGTTAAAAGATAAACCCATTCTGACTATAAAATAATGTATCTCATGATCTGACTACGCCAATTCATAGTACTTCCCAGAATTTGGGTCAAAGTAACAGTTCAGACATGGATCATACAAAAGAGTCAAGACTTCCTCGTCTTCTTCAGCATTGAGGTCATCTTCACCTGTGTGAAGTGTAAAAAGTAAGAATAAATTACTTTCATTCACTTTGAAAAATAACATGGAAATACCTTTCTATTAGACGTGACAGAATTTCTCTTTAAATTGTATAATCCTCTGACTTTTGAATTGTTACCTTCAAGATAACTGCAATTCACCTTTTTTTTTTTTTTTTTTTTTTTTTAACATACATTTCTGAAGACTTGTCTTTAGTTGAGGTGAAATGATGTCATTCAGCGTTTGCTTAACAACTGGACTATACAAAGTCCAAGAGAGCTGTTCATCAAAAGTACCTTTACTGATAGTGCGTCAAGATATTCTTAAGTGATATTTTTCTCTGTGTTCACTTCGGAACAAGAAAGACAGTCAATCTATACTTAAGGCCTGTAAGAATCAAACTGTGTATTATTAGAACATTCTATATGGAAACCCAGAAAACTAAGCAGCACAGAAATCTTTATCTGAAATATTCTTGTTTAACATGTTGGTCTCACAGTGACTGCGTTGAAAAGTGTTAGCGTACTGTGTAGCATTTACAGGGTATTTATTATTGCTTGTTTTACGTGTTACATTTAGGTAGTTAAGTATATTTCATTAATTGTTCTTAAACAGGTTGAGGAAGAAATTGTGTGACAAATAAGTCAAACAAACTTACAGCAAAGTCAATATTGTTGCAATAAACGTGCTCATATTGACTTTTCTTTGACAATGAGCTCTTTCATTGCAGGAAGCATAATAAAAGAAGAAGGAAGACTAAAAGAAGATACACAGTGTTATTCTGAGATAGCACATTTAACCATGCATGTAAAGGCATATACTCCAATTCGTATTTTCAGATGAGGTTTGCTAGTCATAAATAAAGATGTCTTAAAATTAAAATAGAGAAAAACTCTCTATGTAGAGCAAGGTAGCGTAGCATCCTACCTGCTCATAACAAACCAACTGTAGAACTAAAAAGTGCAGTTGAAAACTACCTTCTATAGAACCTGCAAGTATTGTATTTCCTAGGGTGTTTTTATCATATTGCTTAATGACATTAGAATGTCATAAAATCTTTTTCATTGGAGAAAGATGATAACCAGGGTGAGTCTCTGGAAATTAAGATCAGAATGTGAAAATAAATTTTCAGTTCAGGAAAATGACTGAACATTGCTTTCAGTTACACTAAGTTAATACACACCAAGTGCATTCTTTTTTAAGATGATGAAAGTTTCCCCATGGATTTCACTCAGTTGGTTTTTACCCACTGAGAAACAGCACAGAGTTCTGTGTATGAAAATTCAGCAGTAATTCATATCAGTAAAAGGAAATACTGCCTTTTAAGCATCAATGAACAGTAGAAAGCAGTCTTACTACAGGCAAAAATATGAACTCCCTATTTGACTATATTACAACCTGGTATTTCAGCATTCCATTATTTTGAAAACAGTGACAAAAATTTTGCAACTTACAAGTCTTCCATTGATTATTTTTAACATAGGGGAATAGGTAAGAAGTGGGTCTTCCTCTGCTTCACCTGCTCACTACAGTGACAAAACAAAGTTCTGGTATCTCAGATAACACAGTCCTGAAACTTTCAGAAAATGTATTCATGTGTTTCTCAGTTTGTAAATTAACTCTTAACATATGGGATTTTAATGTGTAATTTCTGATATAAAAAATCTGTACAAAAAAGCCTGCAATATTGGAGAGGAAATAAGGTTTTTCAGGCAATAAAAAATTTGCCTGAATAAAAAACTGTCTAAAGCTGTGTAGAATCCAAGAATGTTTTTAGGTTATAAAAGGTTTAGGTAGAAATGAATTGTTAGCCTAAAATACACTGATCAAGCCAGACAGATTTTTATTATAGATGCTTTATATACGACAGGAAATCATAGCTGAACGCAATCTGTATCTGGAATTCCATCATAAATGTTCATCTCGTTCTCAGACTGCTAATACAAACTGAACGCTTTGTATGCTCTAACACTTCATAATAAGTAATGGCCTGTTATGCTAACGGCGGCAGTTTCACAACACGCAAAATCTATTTACAGGCAGGATCACACAACGATATATGGGTTAGTTACATTATCTAGAGACCAGAAAGTAGGTTGGTGCATTTAATGCATACAGAAGAAGTATGTGCTTTATTGTTTGGGAAGAGATCTCATTATTGTTTCCTCAATAGCACGAACAAATGCAGTCAGAAAGAAACTGGCTCTCGCTGTAACCAGAAGTAAAAAGGTAAAGCTCATTTGTTGCCCTCCTTGCTGTTGGTCCATCACCAGGCCTGGAAAGCTAAAAAAGGTTAACTGAGATACTTTGATTGATGTTGCTCTTGGGAAAAATGATTCAGTGCAGACAGTTTGAGGGAACCAAACATCTTTTCCTACATTTCACATGATGGTAAACAAGCAAATGGTGTTCATGCATCGTTCCCTCACAGAGCTTTACATTTTCACCTGAAACCATTTTGTTATTGCCACTGAATTCATACATTTATTATTTTGCATTTCCTTGTCTATGTTTCTCCTCAAAACCAAGGGCCAAACTAACCGACAAACAAGTGCATTTCAAAGAACATTTCCCTAGCTGCTGATGCTCTGCCACCATCCATTCTTTTGGGGCTGAAGCGGCTCAGGATTGCATGAAAAAACCTCTTGGCAGTTTAATTTGAATATCATAGTGAAAGCAAAGTGGAAGCTTTTGTTCTTAAATCACTGTAAAATTAAACAGTATTTTCTGCAGCTGTTAAGGCTAGAAAATAACTTGATTTTAAATGAAAACTTGCCAAAGTCTATGATATACATTATAAAGGGATGAGTATTTTTTTCTTCACTTGAGCTGAAATAAGACTGAAGACTGTACCTCTGAAAACCTGTCTAAAAATGATATGCTGCCCCACTGAAATCATGGAGCTATTGTTTTTATAGAGAAAGGATTTTTCTCTACCTGTATAAACCTGGATATCAAGGAATTGAGGCAGGCAGCAGCTTTTTCTGAGCATTGGAACAAACATACAGATAAATGTGTTGTTATTTGGACTATGTTAACACAAAGTGTTTACACAGTCACCAGTCTGAAGAACTAAAATAAATAGCTGCCTGTTTCACAGAAATACATTTTTTTTTTCTTGTATTCTAGCTTTTAATATTAGGAAATGGTTGGTAGGAAATCTCACTCTAAGATATGGGAATCATAATCACACCCTGGTGTAGGTCAGTTGCTCAGAATCATCTGTCAGGAAAAGGGATGCTGAAGAGAACAGTGCTAATATTTTCTCTGATATGATCCCTGACCATTGAACTACAGTGCTCAAATCTATACTGTAATTATGTACTGTAGGGTTACTATATGAATATTGTCAACAGCTGTAGTCCCAGAAAGAAGTCTGTTAAGTGCTGTGGTTCCTGCAGCACTATCTTTAGACAAATAACAAGATACCATGAGGTAAGTTTCAGAGAATTTATGACTCTGCCTTTGTCACTTACTGTGGAAACTTTCTTGTGTGACTTGTTATCTAAAGGTAAACGACATTTTCTATGAGTTGGGAACATCAATGTCCAACAAAGGAAAAATCTAGTAAAATTTATCATATTTATCAGTTTAGATTTTGCTCTTGATTATCTTGTGAAACATGTCAAACACAAGACTACTTCTCATTACATCTTCCCATTTAGCTATGTATTATGGATGGTGTTACTATTAAGAAAGGAACCCAATAAATTTTTTCAGAAATTAATTACCTTTTCCCCAAAGTTTTGCCTCAAACTAAAGATTTTTTTTTCCAAAATACAAGAATTAAAGAATTTTTGGAAATACACTAATGCTACTTTCCCTTGAGGATAATTTTAAAATGGGCATCTCAGATACACTATGCCTTAGTGTAGATTTTCAGTACTCATAAATATACTTGTGTTACACTGTGATACTTGGTACATTGGAAAACTACACACACACAAAATCTTGTGACACTAAAGTCACTTGCCAACATGAGAAGTAACTTATTTTTCAATGTGATATTAAAAATACATATAATTAGGGCATCAGAATTTCCTGGAATGAATTTGAGCATTCAGTTTGTTAATCTGGTACTCAAGTGTAAGCAATAAAGCAGTTCTTTTGTCACACAAATACCTAACCTCAAGTGAAGTGATTAAGAAAACCCCCCACATTTTTTCTGAAGTGTTAGAGACGTATAACAAGATAAGACCTTTTTTAGCATCTCTTTCAAAAATAATACTGCAAAACATCTAGTTACCATGGTCCATCAAGTCTTTTTTTAAACCAAGAGATCCAGGAAAATTCACAGCCTAATCTAATCTGATATGTGTGCATTACATGGCACCATGTTTTCACATAGCACCATATTACATCCAAAGGTTTGTGTTAAACTTGACTGTATCTTTTATGTGAAAAAATGTATGCCAATTTGCTGTCAATACAGCAGAAGGACAACATTTTTAAAGGACTATAAACAATCCAAAAAGTTTCTTGAAGATGCTGTGTATTGTATGAGTAAATCCCTTAATTTGTCAGTCATACCTCCTCCTCCCACAGGTGCTAAGACCATTTATGGATCTTCTCTGTTACTTCAATAGGGAAGGGTTTCTACTAGCTCAGAAACAAATCCAAACTGTTCTGTGTGGGGATGAAAGGTAAGGGAATTGCTTTATTGTTCTCTCTTATTTCCTCCAACTTCTTGGGGAAATGAAGCTTGATCATTTCAACCATGACAGCAGGTATTTTGAATATTTGAAAATAGAAAAAAAATCTCCGTGAAGTTATAAAAACTACAAATATCATACATATACATGAGCCAAAATTTAATTAGATTCAATGAAGGTGCACAAATAAAAAGCCAAAATAAAAAGCTATGGTATATAGAGATTTTCAGTTCTCTAAATGTGCCATAGCAGACATATCATTTAAAATATTTCAGTATAAAGAAAAATGAGTTTAGGAACAATTTACAAAACAATTTGGAATTCCTCATGTGAATTAATAGGACGAATCCAACATTTTCCCAGGGGTATCTATACATACTAGCTTTCTAGAGATAATCACCCTATTTTTTAAATTTACAGGGATTCAAGCTTTACTGCAGCACATCTAGGATTTCATAATACTAACATCAAAACATTCTCAGAGACCTTTCACAAATTTATATCCGACACACCTTTAACTCAAGGATTACTGTCCAATTCTCTTTGGCTTACTTAGGACCCTTAACAAAATATATTATTTGATTCTTCAAAGCAAGGTTCCTTCCTGACAGCAAAATTCTGTTTTGCTGTCATAAACAATTACAAACACACATCTACAAAAAGATTCCCGATTTGAGGGCCATGATCTATTTCAGGCAGTAAATCACTAAGACATCTTCATCCTTAAGCAGTCAAAATACACAGGTCAGATTTATGAGATTTCACATTGAATTCCCTGGACGTGAAAAAAAAAGTAGGTATCTAACACAACAAAGAAGAAAAAAGAGTGTTTGAAAAAAACACACCGCAACAGGATATATGTTTTATTCTATTGCTGTTGACTTTCCAATTTCAGCAAAGTTCTTCACCATTCTCTAAGCAACTGCCATTATAAATGAAATCTATAACACCTGAGGTGGTGACTCAGCAATCTTTACTTAGGAAACCATGCTTGAGATTTCATTTAAAGATAAATTTGTATTTTTTCTTCGTAATGCAAGTATTATATACAGAACCCAAGTTGTTCTTCTGAATATGAATTTTAGTTGTTGCATTCTTTCTTTCATAGGTTTGCCATCCACACTATCATCAATTCCTTATTTTAAACAAATAAGATGCATTTTTAATGAGGCTAATCTATATCTAACCAGAATGTTAGGAAACTGTGACTGCATAAGTTATTCTTTCATCAGAGGCAAATAATACTGCATGGAAAACTCTGCTAGCTTGCACTGAGAATAATAACTCTGAACCCAAAATGTAGCAGTATAAAAAAAAAACTACTGGAAAACAGAACCAGTGCTACAGAAACAGCATTTATAAATGTTGTCCTATCCAGGTCTTTTTCATTGTCTTCATAAACCTACCTGGAATACTCTGATTTGCTGAAGATTTAGTGTGCTCATCCAGTTTTTGGCTTGCAGGAGTGAGAGGGGGACTGAACACGTTCAACCAGTCTCTGAAAAACACAAATCAAAATATCACTCCTAAAAGCACAGATTGTGATCCCATTTGTTGGAATAATTTGATTTTTAGAAAACTTTCAGAGGAAACCACAAGTTGTCAAGTGTGATGAAACAAAATAAAGCTGGATTTTATTATTATAAAAATTTAGTTTATAGCTAATACAATTTAAAAAGTTAAGGCTTTCTTCTTTAGCGTTTTCACCTTTTCACACCGAAAACCTGTGTTCCAAGGCAGGCTTGCTTTGCAGATTTCAGCTGCTATTGCTCTGCCAACCAATGCTGTACATGAGGTGTGATCCACAGAGCTGTGCCCTGCAAGCCTACGGGACTCAGGGGAGTCCTTGTCTGAGGAACAGGCTTGGGAGAAGCCACCTGTGTTTGATGAGAGACTGTAGGGGTCCATGTGATTGAAAATCCTTACCATCCCTAGAGAAAAAGCTTTAGTGGCAATTGTAAGAGCTGTGTTTGTCCACTGTTTGGAGCTGCCTGATATAGGGTGAGCAAGTGCTATATAACTTTCTGAGTCTGGGTGGTCCACAAGTGAGAGCTGAGCATAGAGATGAGATGCATGCCATGAACAGTGTGATGCCAACTCAGTGCTCGTGAACTGTGGGAAAGCCGGTTTGTATAAAATAATGTACTCTTTGCAGTTCATTTTCACTTTTAAATTTTTCAATAAAGGGATGGAATTAATGATCAAAGCTAAGAATAACATCCTAACAGCTTTCCAGTTTTTTCTAAGAAGGAAATACTGGATTGAATCAGAATATTATTAAAAATAGTTGTTGATTCAAAAAAACAACCTTTGTAAACACATTATAAATATTTGTTTAGAACAATTTATTATTTTTATAAAATTTGTTATACGCTGTAAATAAAAAAATTGTTATCAAGCACTACATGGTTTTATTTGCTGACCAGAAGACAGGACTCATCTCATCACAGCTATCACAGATCTGTTTTACTTCTGTGAAGAAAAAGGTTTTGGTGGAATCTTTATCACAGAGAAGGGAGTATGGAACTTCTTCACCTATTTAATTTAATAGGCAATTTATGCCTCTGCTGAACACTACTTTGTGATAGCTTTTAAAAATGATTTTCCCATTATCATACATTGATGCAAAGTTCAATGTTCATTTCACATACGCCACTTTATGATACACTGTCTTTGATTGCTACAGCTCAAAGAAAGGAAAACAGAGCAGTCCTTTTTATTGTTATTTTGTTATTGCTATTGCTTTTTTATTGCGAACTGAACTGCTGACTTTTTCACTAAAAAATGGGATAGGAAACACATGTATGAGATTTCATTCATTTTATACTACCAATGAGAGAAACAGCCCTGGAAGGACACATCCAAGTCACAAAGTTCAGGCAATCCTTGTGTAGTTGACCACGTCTCACAATTCTTGTCATAGAAGAAACTGATCTCTGTACACTGCTTTGCTGATGTTTCCGTATGTTCCCATCTCTCTTGTTCAACAGTTAAGTGTTTTTAACACATTAAAGCCTCCATAGAACTAATTGTGGAACTGAATGATTGAGATTTAACATTTTGAACAGATTTTGAAGAACCTCAGTAAAACATCTTATATCGACAGAAGCAGGTCCATCCTTTTTGACCAACCTTTTTCATTGCAAGGGAAGGGATGTAGATTGGAAAAGGCGTCTTTAAATTCCCCTATGTTTGCTTCATGTCCGTGGGAACAGTGCAGCTCTACAGAGTAAATTAGTTTGGGATTGATTTAATTTATGTCTGGCCATCGTTGTTCCAACAGCTGGCACAAGAACACTTTACATGCAAACTTGTACTAGAAGCTGGGAAGATTTGCTAGGGCTATGAAAGTAACTTCACCATCAGCAGATTCCTCTAGAAAGGTTGAATTTTCCCAAAGCTTGACAGATTTCTTTACATTGCCAGACTGTATCAATTGTCCAACACCAAGTAAACAGGTAATGTACATCTACTTTCTGAAAAGCCTTGATGATCTCATGTAAAATGTGTTTCTGACAGAGAAACCTGGCAAGGCTCAGTCATGTGCTGTAATTGCTAAAATATGCCTTTTTTTGTTTGTTTGTTTATTGTTAGTTTTTCTCTTACTTCTGGACTTGTTATTGATTCCACATCATCTCCTGCTGGCATGTACACATAATCTGGGGTGAATCAGGGGACAACCACCTATCTGTTTGCAGTCAAAATGGAAAAAACTAATTTTCTGCCTCAGGAAACAGAACTGCTGGTGTAGAAATCCAGCAAGTAGTATAGCAGATTTAAAGGAAGAGATATTGATTTTTCCATCATTTCAATATGTAAAAAACATAGTTCAATCTTTTTTTTATACCATCATTCTATTTCCACATATATGGCCAACTTCACAACCTATCCTTCCCTGCTGTTCAGCCAATGCCAGTGAGAACTGGTGCAACTAATCCACACAGCAATATCCTTGCCTAGACACCTCATTATTAGCTCTCTCTGTCATTGCTTGCCATTTTTGCATTCTCTGAATTCACCCAAAGACTATTCGTTTGCAGCAAAGTTTCAAGAGCTTCCAGGAATAACAGTTAAGTACATGCATATGATATTCAGTTGCATGGTAGAATTTATTTTCCATTTCTGCCACTTGCACGTGTGTTTTTGCTGCCTCGTACTCTGCCAACATGAAGCTAAACACTAATATCTGAACATGCTCACAGCAAGCAGTGAGAGAGCACTAAGCTTTAGCACTTACCCAATTCTCTACAATTGTACTGAAGCATAAAGTCAGTAAAGGCAACCTCTTTGAGAAACTGCAACAATTTTAGGTAAGGCAAGGCAGAACTATTAGTGCTAATCTACATCTCCGCTTCCCAAGCTACCCTTTTTTCCCAGTTCATTACAACTTAAAGACGGTGATGTTTGAGACACAGAGAAGGACTAGTGTATTTCTGCTGGGAAGACTGCAAGGACAGAGGAAAGATGGTGATTGCTGGTAAAGAGAATTAACTCAGTCAGACTAACAAATGTTAAAAAGTAAAGAAGCTTTAGAGCATACATGAAGTTCTACAAGTCTGGCACAAAACAGAAGAGTTTACAGATCCATGTTTTTCATAAAAAATACGTATCAGATCATTTCTAAAAAAAGAAAAAAAAAACGAATTTGTACCTGGAGAGCAGAGGATGAGGAGAGAGGAGAGGATGTTAGTATGAAGGAAGAAAAGACAATAAAGCAATTATTTCCAAGGGAAAAGAAAGATAACTCATTTATAGAACATGGAGGGAGGTTAGTAATCATGTGCCATCAAACAAGTATCTCTCTTAAATTCATGGTTCTTATTACTCTGGAAATTTACAAATTTCAGTTTAAAGTCTCATCTCTGCAAAGTCTTCCTGAAAGATATGTCTGAGTAATCAAAGATGGGTGATTATTTGTATGATTTTGTCCCTTATTTTTTTTTATTCAATTATTTGAGTTAATTCTGCTGTATGGAAGTTGTTCAGTTTCACCTTTATATTTATTATGAGGCACCTGGCTCAGTTGAAGAAGTATTATTTTTTTCTAGCAGGTGTGAGTATAAGAGCTAAGGATTTCAATGGTTCTAAAGGGAGGTAGAAGTGTACGTACTTATGACTGAGGCAAAGGAGGTGCATGGTAAGCTTATTATTTCCTATTAAAATAGTCTGGAATCAGTTCATGTTTTCTTTTTTCCTCCCACTGTCCAAGAGAAATGAATAGCTTTAACCACCAAGAAAAGTACATAAACCAGTGCAATATTAAGGATCCATTATTGACATAATATTACTTCTAAGGTTTTACACAATATATATTAAAAACTGGCTTATCACTTCCACATGTCAGTTAGCAATGTCTAAGACAGTACTTCATAAAATTTAAAATTTAAAAAACGAAAGCTTGTGTGCTGAAATCTTCTTGGTCAAGCTGCAGCAGAGAGTAAATATTTATAGTTATTTGATAAACCTCTGAAACATGAGCTTACGCTGGTAATTCTGATAGATGCTGTAGTCTTGCAGTCAATACAGACTTTTTCACAATGAAATCTGCAGATACTTTTAAGGAAGCAACTAAAGCATATTGGTGTGTGGGACAGAGTGTATATGGTAATTTGAAAAAAAAAAAACAACACCAAAATTCTGAGAAAATTTGTTGACCTTGCCTAGAAGTAAAGAGCCCATCATGGAGAAAATCAGCAATTAACACTTGAGAAATGCAGACTGTGGCCTGTGTTCCCATTTATTGTGTTTTTATTTTGATTGAATAAAGAATATTTCTGGGGTGAACTTTGAGAAGCTAGTTTATCTCCTTAAAACAGAAAAGCGAATCAAGCACTCTGACTAATTAATGACACTCTATTTATGCTACCAATGCCTCAAGCTATAATCAATGCAATCAACATGCAATAAACTATCTAGAGCTTTTCTGATAACAATGCTGAATGCTAAGTAAGTCTTTTGACATTGTGACTTTTTTGTATGAAGGCTTGGAACAGAAAGATTCCAAGGATCTTTAATGCTGGCACTGAGATTCTTAATTATTCTGGATGCAATTCTACATATCAAAATCTAATAAAACATATTTCATGCCATAGGCTTTTCTAAAAAAATAATAAAAAAAAAACTTTCAGAAAGTAAGTGTCATATATTGAAAGATCACATGATAACTGAGCTGTGATGAAAAACAGAATAAATCTTTGGGATTTATGAACACAATTTTTAGTTCCATAACAGAATAGTAAATTTTTCAGAAAATGGCATCCATCAGTAAAATCTGTTGAGAAAATTACCAATGCAATTGCAATACCAATGGCAATACCATATAAGAACTATTGCCACGAGCAATAATACCATCAACAGAAAAATGAAGAATCAGGGCTTTGATTTAAATCTTGCTGAACACCTTTGATACTCCTATTTTTTAAAAGTTGCTTTTTAGGTTATCCTAACAGATGGAATGAGAAAATGCCAAATTTCTTAAGTATAAAGATATTTAACATT